GTTGCTCCCGCGCCTCGCTCAACCAGTGAGCGGGAACCTGTCTGTATGTGGGATCCGAACCCTCGGGCAGGAGCGCCGCCGCGCTTCCCAAGCGGCGCACTATCCAGTGCGCCACCGGGCCGGCCCTGTCTATTGCCTTTTGACTTCAAACGTTTCTTCAAATAGTTTTATGGTCTAATCAGTCACATTTTAAAACTTTCATCTACCTGGAATTTATTTTATTTATTTATTTTTTAAAAAGATGACTGGTAAGGGGATTTTAGCCCTTGACTTGGTGTTGTCAGCACCACGCTCAGCCAGTGAGCGAACCGGCCATCCCTATATGAGATCTGAACCCATGGCCTTGGTGTTATCAGCACCACACTCTCCTGAGTGAGCCACGGGCCGGCCCCTGGAATTTATCTTTGAATAAGGAGTTAGGTACACTTGAGTCTGAGGAGGGACCCAACAATCTGTCTTTTTAAAAAGCTCCCCCAAGTGATTCTAATGCGTAGCTGGTTTGGACACCACCATCTTTGATTCTCCTGAATCCCATCCCACGGGGACCCCTGTGGAGACTCCAGCACCCCTAGGAGGAAGAATTTACAAGCGGTCTTGGTGGAGCTGTACTCTTGTCTTTTTAAAAAGCTCCCCCAAGTGATTCTAATGCGTAGCTGGTTTGGACACCACCATCTTTGATTCTCCTGAATCCCATCCCACGGGGACCCATGTGGAGACTCCAGCACCCCTAGGAGGAAGAATTTACAAGCGGTCTTGGTGGAGCTGTACTCCAGATCACAGTCTCTGTGCACAACCAGACAGTACCATCTTTGGTAATGGTGTGGATATGCAACTGCAGACTAGAATTGTCGACACCGCCCCAGCTACCGTCTATGATCTCTGCTCGCTCCTGCCAAACTCACTTGCCCGCTCCCACGTACCAGGGCCTGGGTACTCTGGGACCCACAAGTGGCTGCGTCAAACTGTGGAGCAGTTTCAGTTTTAGAGGCTGTAGTGCATGTGGCACAGTAGTACTGAGGCTATTTTTGTCCCCACTGGCACTAGTGATAGTTCGTTGGCTATTTTACCTAATTTTCTGAGAAGAGTATTGTTTCCTACCCTAAGTATACTTTGAGTGAAATACCTCTCTTTTCAATCCAAGCTCAGTGCTGCCACTACTAAATGATCTTGTGAATTCCTTCCCTTTTAAAATGGAAGATTTAATTTACCAAGATCTTAGGCTTGGTGTCTAGATCAAATTTCTTGGCACGTGACACATAATGTCAATTCCAATTTTTAACATAGTGATGGGCCACAGATCCTGAGGCCCTGTTGGGGGGCTTGGAGTCAGTAAAACACACCAAAATCCTACTTCTAAGACTCGCACCACACAGGGCTATTGACTAAAGTGTCCCTTCCTCCCCTCCGCCCCCAACACCAGTTAAGTACCTATCTTCTTTGTGGCTCCCAAGAAATCTCATTTATGTTTTAGCAACTAAAGCCACATCCTTGCATCCAGGAAGGGACACCTGAGCTGGTAACAAGCCAAGCATTAGCCTAGCTGAGCAGCCACACAAAAATTAACTAGCAAATCACAGGAGTGCTCAGGCCCACCATGTGTAGGCCAGGCCTTGGGAAGGTAGGAAAGTCACTCTCCTCAGTAACTTTGGTGAACACACCAACAGCATCAGCCGGAGGGTCATTACAGCAGCTTTTAACATTTCATGTCCCAGGAGAGGAAGAGCCACAGCAGTCCTTGCTGCACCATTTGCTGTCTTTCCACATCCCTCTAAAGAGGCTGGTAAGACTCTCAATGACGCTCCCATTGGCGGCTTTTCTAGGGTAACATCTGGCTTTTACATGACCTTCCCTCCTCCTGCAGCTACAGCAGGAATTCAAAACTTCCATTTTGGGGATTAAATAGTATGAGAGCCTGCCACTCTTTGGGGGAACAGGGGTATAAACTGAGTGAAAGGAAAACATAAAAGGCCAGTGGTCAAGGTCAGACAAGAAGGTAGATCTACAACACACAGTAATTGTTATTGAATTTATTATAAGTTGACTGCCAAATGTGGTACTATATTTCTAACCTGTAACTATGCAACTTGTCACAGGTCAAGGTGGGAAGGGGAACACCTATGTTCTCTACAGGCCTCATGTACCTTCCCTGGGCACTGGCCATGACAGGACAGGTCAGTCTGGCATAATGGCATTCTTCAACAAGGGGTTCCGAGCACCTTAAATTTGCAGCTGACTCTGGACATTCAGGGTGGGTTGAGCAGATGCCCACTGTCTGCACCAGAGGATACAGCCTCGGCCTCTTCCGTCTTTTTTCTTCTACCTATGTGTGGGCTAGATCCACTATTCTTTGCGAGAACCTAAAGCAAACTATCCAGGACTCATGAACCATCTGGAATGGATACACTGTAAAAAATTTCCCGATGCCTAATTATTTCAAGATACTTTATTTTTAAAACAGGTCACAACGCTAAGCTTTTGGCCCATTCTGCCATTGTACAAGCTACAAATGCTTGCTCAGCAGCTGAGGGGCACTCCTTAAGTAGCATGTTTGAAAAGTGAATAAAAATCCATATAAAACAAATATTCAAATAGATTCCATAGGAACACATCTCCTAGTCTTCCACGCTGCTGCACCTGTGCCAACCCTACTCCACAAAGACATTTCAAAACTAGCAGTAATTAAGTTAAATGGTCCCCCCAAAGCCTTTAATTCAAGCTAAATTCGCAGTTAATAGCTACAAGAATGGTATCTACACATTAATACTAGCAGAAGCACATGTTGCTGGGTGACGTTTCATTCCACTTTCCCAAGCACAAGACACAGGCAGAGTGCTGACGTCCTGCTCCTCTACTTCGGGTGGGAAGTCATGGTTCTGGATCTGCTGCATGAGTTGCCTGAGAGAGAAGGAAGTGGCATATTCAAAAACCCTGAGTCACCCATAACTGGGCAGTAGTGCATGAGAATAACTTATTCATGGGAGTATTTACTTCCTTGCTTACCAGGTCATCAGGAAGCAATTTGATGTATTTCTAGAGCAAGCATTTCAGACTTACTTTTTTCGTAGTAAGAAAAACACAAGTCTCATGCATTAACTTAAATATCCTTAAATATTCCAGTTACTTAGAAATACCCTAATTGGTCTTTTCTAAAACCTTTCTTAGGAAAAATATGAGAAGAAATACAAGTCAGTATTACTGGAAAGATCTTCCTTCCATTTGTCTGTATTTAATCCTAGGCAAAACAATTTCTTGTGTTTTTGGGTGGCTGGCTGGTAGGGGGAGGTCATCTGAACCTATAACCTTGGTGTTATAAGGCTCTAACCGAATGAGCTAACCAGCCAGCCCCAATCTTATTCAACCAGACAAAAGCAAACAAAAATCCAAGAAGGTGACTATTCTTGTGAGAACCATAAACACACAGTATCTCACTTACCATGCTGGTCTTGACATCACATAGTAGATGGTTGGCCTCTGGAATCCATTGAAAGTAGAAGCAGCAGCAACAGTGTAGGCACCCATGTTTTCAAAGAGCATCCAGTCGCCCACATGCATTTCGGGCAGGTCACAGCGCTCAACTATCCGATCGAGGCCATCACATGTTGGTCCCCATATGCTAGATGAATAATACTTCTCATCTGGTTTGGGTCTCTATATAAAGATAAAGTGCTACTTAATTATACTTGTGACCAATCATCTCAATTGTTTTCTACAGTATGTTCAGAAGTTACCTTTTGCAGAAGGGGCTTTACATGTGCATGATCATAAAGGATGCAATTAAACGATCCATATACTCCATCATTCACATAATACATAAAGGTTTGTTCACTTGACTCATCTTCATCTAGAAAAGCAGATTAACCATAATTACCACTTTTTTTTTGGAATCAACTTTCAGTTATACATGCAAGGAGTCATCTTTTATACGTACCATCAGAACCTGTCTGTTCCTTTAATACAAGTTTTTTGGCAATGATATTAACTGCAAGTGTGAAAGCTGATGCAACATAATATCTGCCTGGCTCAGCTATGATTCTCACTCCAGAGTCTGACGGAAAATACTTGTCCAATGCTGGGTTGATTACACTGGTGATCTAAGAGAGTGAGACAGAAAAGAGCAGCCATTCATTATGGGGAATTCACACGCAGAAGAAAGATCACAGTGCTCTGTAACATGACATGATGAGAGCAGGCATCAGCAAAGCGGTTTATCATCAAGTAACAAAAGCAAAAAAATAAACATCTGCCTGGAAACCAGTCTGCCCACGCTGTTGTTTCACTTTGATTCTCCTCTGCATACTTTCTTTATCCTTTTTAAGATATCGTGGGTATGATTTTCTCAAAGAATAGTACAAAACCAGTTATTACCTAGTGAGGTCTCAAGGTCCCCAAATATTTTTATTTAGCAAATACATGCCAACAGGATAAAAATTCTTCTATTCTGTCTACCTCACATAATTTAAAAAAATAAGAACGTGGATTTATTTTATAAACTCAAGCACCATATAATGGCTTAACTTCCTAAGTGCTTAAATATTTAAAGCATTTTAAGGGAAGGAAATACAATACGAAGACCAGCAAAGCACATTTGGGGTAATGGACTGAAGTCAGTACTGAAGTCAACATATTCCCTAGTGATTTCACAGAAACATTTTTTAATGTGATCAATTATCCAAGAATTCTAGGATAACTGACTCATTTTAGTTTAGAAAACCAAACGGTACTACTAAGTACAATTTTAGATAGCACAGAGAAGTTACTCAAAATATCACACCAAGACATTTATTTTCATGTTTAGACCCTTTTTGTATTAAACAGCTTTGAAATATTCCATAAAGGAACTTACAAAAATAGCTACTGTACATAATAGCTGTGTAATAAATTACCTCTTCAAATTTAAGCTTCACATCTTCAGATCCAGGAAAGCCACCACCAATATCAAGCAGATACATGCTGAAACCAACCTCAGCCTAGAGTCAAGAAAATTAAGAAGTCACACAGCCAGATTCATAACAAGTAACAATATATGCAGCATGGGAGATCTCAAATGTGGGGAAAAAAATGTATGCAGAAGAGTTTAAACTTCTGTAATATGGAACTGACTTCTACAAAAGGTTAATTGTAGAATTAAAACTAGCTGTCAGTAACTTCACTAATGGAGTTACGTGTACTCACTCCCATGTCAAAGACACAGCGGGCATCAGAGACTGCCTGCACGAAAGTCTCAGGATCAGTACAGCCACTTCCCACGTGGAAGCTGGGGTAAAAAGAAATGATATGCCATTTTTCACTACTTCTTGAAATAACTATTTCGTGGAAGAAAGCCTATAACACAGGCACTGTTTAACATCTTAGTCTCTATGCCGCCAAGACCTCACCTGACACCAATGACATCAATATTCAGCTCTTTTGCCCGTTCCAAAAGAAGCCTGCTGGCTTTGAGTGTGGCACCAAATTTAACACTGAGGCGACAGACTGCTTTGGAATCATCAGTGGCAATCCGCAAAACCAGCCTAGAAGAAAAGCATATCAGATGTCTCATAACAGATCACTTACAGCCATGGTTAAAATAAAGAGAATCCTGTCTTAAATATTGTTTCTGATACTCTGTGGTTTAAGTCTAATATGGTTTTATTAATCAATACAGGATTTAAACTATTTTCTATTAAAGTACAGAAATATAATAATTTAGAAATTTAAGTTTGTTTGACAAGAATCCACATATCCCATGCCCGACCTTGCCCTCCAAGGGAGGAATGACTCACTTTGCCTTTGGATGTGCTCTGGCAACTTTCATCAACTCAACTTCACTATCAAAAGTCATCATCTGGACTCCGTTACTGGCAGCGTACTTAATTTGAGACACTTGTTTACAAGGATTTGCATAGATAATCCTCTCTGGGGGCACCCCAAGACTCTGCACCAATTGTATTTCAGTCTGAAAAAGAGGAGTTGTATCATGTTACACATAAGTAGCTAAAACAAGTGGAATAAACAGAAAAGTTGTTGTGTGTGCCCCCTGCCACCTCCTTCATTAGCATTTATTGCTCAAGAAACACAACTTTCATCTGCCCTGTAGAGAAAACCAGGACCATTTTATATAACTAATTTCGAATTCTCCTGCTTTTGCTTACCTTGCTAGCACAGTCAAATCCTGTCCCGACAGCAGCTAGGGTTTTCACTATGGCTCTGCTATCATTACATTTGACTGCATAGAAGGGGGTGACACGAGGAAGAGCTTTTAACCATCTTAGATGTTTCTTTAGAACGTCTCCAAGGTCTGCGACATAGAAGGCATCCTTATCGTCCTAGAACACGAGTGGTTACAGGTAACTTGTTAGCAGCCTCACAATAGCCACACTAATAGGCAGCCTGTCTTTCCCAACATTCTCAGTGAATCTTACTTTTAGTCACTGACACAAATATCACCATTATCACTGGACAATCCACAGCCAATTAAATTCTAAGTCCCCTAACAAGACATGCAAGCTCCAATACACTTCCTTAAGACCCCACTGAAGTTTCCCATTTGCCCAGCATTCTCAGATGCACTGCCAACATGGGCCTCACATACTTACAGAAGAAGAAACTTCATTAATTTTTTGGTCCAGAATGTCCTTGGCAGTAAAGCCTTCATCGAGGAAGTGGCAGTCAAACTCTTCATTACTAAAGTTGTTCATGGTTTCTCAATGTTCCTCTGAAACACAACAAACTGCAAATGGAGTGGAGAAATTCACTCAGAAGCCTTAGCCATCCTATTCTTAACAAGATTACCCTGCAACAAAAGTGTAAGCTGAATACTTACACGGAAAACGAAGAGATGGAATTTAAACAAATTATTTTCAGCTTCTCACAAAGGCAATTCTCCAGGAATTCCAAATCCCACTGTGTATGTCCTCAGAGCAGCAGTGGAAATGTTCTGATAAATAGAAACACACAGAATTTTCCTTAGAAAGACACAGAATCTACCTTAGGATCACATCCGGTTGAAATATAGAGCACTGACTGAGCATACACAAAAAGTAGGGTTAATCAAGGACCCAATGGAAATAGATCACTCTGGTGTGGGAATCCCAATTATCTCTAGATGTAAGTCACATGATTCCGTAAACCTTTGCAATATATGAAGACACACATATTCAACATTAGGTTTTTTCAAAGCAGCACACTGAAATTCCATATACGAGTATAGCACATTTCAAAATAAGCATTTCAAATATTTACACCCAAAAATTGTACAATGCAGGTTAAGAAGCTCGCCTGTCCTTAAGCTCACTGATATAGAAAAAGGTTTTATAATGGTCAGTCTGCTTTAATTCAGAGCTGTTTCAACTCTTCAGAAACTTAAATAGCATCTACTTTCACTAAGTCTTACACAAATGATTTTCAGTGACTAATAGAAATGTCTAAGGCATTCAACTTACTGAGCGCTCGTAAGTTTCCTGAGAATTTCATGAGCTAATTTTCAGGCTATATTAGCTGGGCATATATTGTTTAAAACGTCATCTTCAAATCAACTTAACACATTGTATTACAGTTGTTGTTATCTGATCAGAAATCAATATCCTTGAGCCAATGTTGCCCACCAAATTACTACCGTCCTTACAGACCCTCCAGTATTTGCTTAGCTATGAATGATAACCACATGGAAGTAATTTTTGGCTAACTTTATGCATAACAAAAGTAAGCAAGAACATCATGCTAGTAACAAAAGCCACGGCCCTTAGCCTTCATGAAATGACACTGGTGAACCAGTTATCTTAAAATTACGAATTTCTGCCAAGTAGGGCCTTCTTCTTTCCCACTGTGCAGCCCACTTCAGTGCTAGTAGCCTATGAGAACAGAGGCCAGGCAATGGTTCGGGGTCACAGTATGCTCTGGCATGGGGCACTATGAGAGGCCCAGGGGGATGAGCCCGTCATAAATCCAAACCCATGCATGGTAGAACTAGCTTTAAGACTCAAGCTAATGTGACTTTCTGGCATTGTCAACCTCATGAGTTGCCTAAATAACTCCCTAGGAGAAGGCAAGAGACTAAAAGAAGCAAACCCACTTTTGTCTATATAAAAATAACATTTACAATTTACTAATGGACAGGCTCAAAGGGTACAGACTGAGTTATTTAAGGTCTTGTTAAATATTTTTAAGACAATGTTCAGGCTTTAATTTGGAAAGTTTTTATTTGAAAAACACTATATTTAGTATTTTCCTTTACTGTACCCTTTAAAGTTTTATTTGAATAATTTATTTGAATAAATTTCACCTAAGAACATCTTTTGGTCTTCCGAATAGCTAAGCTTATTTAAACTGTTGAGTTAATTAACACAAGATGGTAATGTTATAAGAGGTATGGACTAAATCAAACAGAAACTTCGAAAACATCTCACAAGTCAATTTAATTCTGCCCAATTTTGGGTTTGAATAATGTAAGCCAACACATTCTTTGTCTGGCCCAGACATTCCTGGGAGGTTCTGCTCCCCACACTTTCACAATTATTTAAGACTCTCAAACAACACAACCAGCCTGTTTTGAAAACCTTAGGGCTGGCTCCTGTGTGTACGGTTGTCCGCCTGAGCCAGGCTTTTCTTAACTCACTAAGTCACTCCGAGTCCTTAAATAAACAATCCTAAGTCACGGCTAGTCGAGTATTCGCCATCATAGGCTATCTTAGCTCCAGCCACCCCCGAGGCTTTTCCCATCGGTGTCATCTGCTCTGTACACACAGCAAAAAAAACTAAAAAGAAGAGAGAAAAAAAGAGCAGGACAGCGAGGCACAAGGGTGCGCCTGGTCCCGGGACCGCGTCGCGCGGGCTCCCCTGCACCTGCCGCCGGGCTGGGACGGAAAACGGCTGTTGAAGGAACCCCAGGGCCTTCTCAACGGCTTCCGGCCGCCCTGGCTCGGAAACCTCCGCTGACGTGTTCGAAGAGAGGCGACACGCGGGGACCGGGGGTCTCCGCAAGGGCCCCTCCAGCGCGCGCTGCCCCGGGCCGGGGAACGGGGCGCAGGACGCGCTGTGTCGCCGAGTGGGTGGCCGCGGGTCAGCACCCC